CGGCTGTGAAGATCATGTCGCGGGTCCGTCTGGTGGTTGACGACACCCTGAACCTTGACTATAAGCCTTATGTTTCGAAGGCCGAGCGCAAGGCCCTTGACGCAGACTCGAAGATGCTAAAGAAGTATTCCGACAAGGATGTCATTGCGGCCTGGAAGAGAAAGAAGGTATACCCGACGATTCAGCAGAAGGAGGAAGCCCGGGAACGCATCAAAAAATTCCAGTGGGAGGCTCGCAACGCTCAAAAGCAAGAAAGTGCGGATTCGCAAGAGGAACCTTCCTTGTGAGAAAAGCACGATTGAGGCTTGATTATATTTGTGGCCTTTGACAGGACGAGGCTGAGGTCTCGATTGTATTATGTTTGTATATCACACATTGGGGGCTATAGATGGCGTTGCATATTTGCATTATGTACATAATACCATGGGTACATTCTCTACTTCTAACATGAGACAATAAACAAGATTCCGCAGGGGTTGATGTTGCTGTCGACTTGTAATGATCCTTGTCCTTGAGTTTTCGTAATACCAGTGGCCCTGGGATTGGGGTAGGACGCCTTGACTTTGGTAAGAAGCCCACGGAAGATCATGGCTAGGAATAGATTAAGTGTGATAACGAAAGACAACTTACCGTTATTTAAGATCAATATTGGATAAGCCCCCAATGAGGAACGAAGAATCGAATTATATTCTCCGGCCAATAATAAGGTAGGTCTATACTACCAACGGACCTTTTCACCAGAAAACCGCCGAGCCTTTTACACTCCCCTATATAAACTGCCAAGTCATACGACATTCGAATCTCATCATTCCGTTTAATATCCGGCCATTTCTATCTATTAATTTAGATAAAAAAGACCAGTTCTAAGGTTGAAATGCAACATACTATATAATAATCTGCGAAGTCGAGTGTTGACGAGGAAAATGTCACGCAATCCGACAGCCGATGATGAAATTCTTCCCTATAACGTGCTATCCTTTGTCCTTAATACTGATATCGCGCTTAGAAAAATGGTCCGATAGGCTCTCATGACTTATGCCGGCATTATCATTCGGAGGTTAAAGATATCTATGTTGTACAAGATAATGTGATTAATGTGGGGATGATGGCGAATGTTCTGGTCTACGGCACGCCATATGCAGTTCTAAGAATCCAACCTGTTAGTGCTCGGAGGTTTGCCGTTCCCCTCTTTTGAATTGTCGATGGCGCGAGATACGTCGGCGATGGGCAAATTCTGTGTTGGGATGGTGGGGGTACCCCTGGACAGAGCCGTCCTTCCGGGCTTTGTTGGTTTGGAACATGAGGGGTCGTCTCACTCTTATAGACCATCGTCCGATCCGTTTTGAACTTGCGCGAGCGAGTACTGCCCGTAGGAAAGAAAGGAAGCATATTTCACCTTGAAAACTGCGAATTATGGGTGACAGTGCAACTACTAGCCAGAATGGCTCGGCCGCTGGCAATGGCAAGAAACAAATCTTGCTTAACGCTTTTGATATGTCGACCGTGGGACATCTGTCCCCTGGACAATGGAAGGTTGGTAGAGGAATCGAAGTTGAAGGGCCGGAATGCTGACAGCTCCATAGAATCCCAAGGACAAGTCTGCGACCAAGCGAACTCTCGGGTACTGGATAGAGTTGGCAAAACTGTTGGAGCGCGGCGGAATCAACGCATTGTTCCTGGCAGATACAACTGGAGGTCATGATACCTATGAGGGCAAACTAGACGAGTGTATTCGGCGTGCGGCGCAATGGCCGGTGACAGACCCGACTATCGTGAGTATCAATAAAACAAATGTTCCGATCAGAATCTGACTTCTGGTTAGCCCATTTCGGCAATGGCTGCAGTGACAAAGAATCTGGCGTTTGGCATCACGGCCTCAACTTCATTTGAGCAGCCCTTTTTGCTGGCTAAGCGCTTTTCAACCCTGGACCATTTGACCAATGGTCGATTAGGTTGGAACATCGTGACCTCATATAAGAAAGCGGCTTTCAAAGCCATTGGTGTGGATACTCCAATTGAGCATGACGAACGGTACCGCCAAGCAGATGAGTATTTGAAGGTGCTCTATAAGTGAGTTGCATGCCCAAAGCTTGGTTGGTGATGCTCTTGAAGACTGACTCGGCGGTTGTTGCGCATAGACTGTGGGAAAGTTCCTGGGCTCCTGATGCACTGTCGCCCAACCCCGAAACAGACTCGTACATAGACCCGGATAAGGTCCGTCAGATCAATCACAAGGGCAAGTACTTCTCATTGAGCACACGACACATCGTCGACCCATCTCCGCAGCGGACGCCGTTCCTTTTCCAGGCAGGGACTTCACCTGCAGGATCGGATTTTGCTTCGACACACGCTGAGGCGATCTTTGTCTCTTCCCATTCGCCAGAGGTGTTAAGGCCGAAGGTCGACAACATCCGCAAGCTAGCCGCAGAACGAGGCCGTGATCCACAATCAATCAAGTTCTTCGGTACCTTCACGCCCATTGTAGGCAAGACCGACGAAGAGGCGTGGGCGAAGTACGAGGAGCTGAAGAAGTACGCGTCGGTGATTGGAGGACTGGTTCTTTTCAGCGGATGGACGGGCATTGACATTTCCAAAATCCCATTGGACCAAGACATCACGGCTTTAGACTCGTTGGAGGCAAACAAAGTCACTAGCTTGCTTGACGCATTGACCACGACCAGCAAGGATATTCCACGCTGGACGCCTCGCGTGGTTGCTGAGAAGGCTGCAATCGGTGGTCTTGGCCCGGTAGCTATTGGAAGCCCGGCTACTGTGGCCGATGAGATGGAGCGTTGGATACAAGAGGCTGACCTCGATGGGTTCAATCTTGCCTATGTTACCACGCCTGGCACCTTTGAGGATGTGGTTGACCTGCTCATCCCCGAGCTGAGACGGCGCGGTCTTTATCCTGAACTTCCAGACCCCTCAGAGCCAGCTCTCACAGCTCGTGAGAGGATATATGGCAAGGGACAGAAAGAGCTCAGGGCTGACCATATTGGAAGCAAGTACAAGTACGATGTGTATCAGGAGGAGGCGCCTTATGTTGCTGATACCGAGGAAAAGTGATTGTCAAATTGTTGACATCGGATGATCATTTAATTTTTCGGAGATTCAAGGCAGTTGAAACATTCAAATCAGAAAGCCCATAATATGCATGCAAGTGCATCGTAGAAGTAAAAGCTGAAACATAACGTGCCTGGTAACATTACCCGTGACCCAGTACGTAATGCCACTCTAGCCTTTCCGGGACAGCTTGGCTAACTTGCTTTCATACTCCCCGATTACCTTGACCTTTCCTGTTGACTTTGCCTCTGAGAGGACTAAAACTAAAGGAAGTGCCATTCTTGCGGTAAACTTCCGACCATCACGACCATACCACGCGAACCATGGCTACCGTATACCAAGGCCATCCCCATGATGAGCCCCATGATGACGAGTCTCTCCTTGGTGATGATTTGATCGAAGCCGATGATGGTGAGTATTTTTCTTTGCCCTCTTGACTGCCACTGTATCCGCAAGATCCTAATTCGGTGTGATTCTAGCCATCGACGCTGACGACCCCCTGCACAATACCTCCGACACGGCCCCTCTGCGAGGCAACATCGAATCCAGCTCGGCCAACCGAGGCAATTCCTCTGGCTATGGCAACTACCTAACGTCCTCTATCGGGGGTGAGGATCGCCGTGCGGTGCAAAATACCATCGACGAGAGTGTTTGGGAGACATTGTCACGCGACTTGGTTGCCGTGTGGGAGAAGATGCGCCAGGTGCTTTGGCCGAAGTACTTGCTCGGAGGAATGATGCAGCGCGGGGGCAGTGGTACCGCTGATTCCGAGCAAGGTGGAGTGTCTGGATTTGGTGGTAACATTCGGGGACTCGTTGGACGCTGGCCGGATGCCGACGTGGTCCTGCAGGGTGGCATGAGCGATGGGTTGCGGGACTGGGATCTCTGGTAAGTAAATTCGCACACGAGAAGTCTGAAAAAAAACTAACAAGTACTCTAGGGGACCGCTTGTCTTTTGCCTAGTCCTGAGTTTGTTCTTGTCCGTCGCAAAGGGTGATCAGTCGTCGGTGGTCTTCTCGGGTGTTTTCTGTCTTGTCTGGATCGGAGAAGCGGCTGTGACTCTCCAGATCAAGCTTCTTGGTGGCAAGATGTAAGTTTTCTATGAATGATCTCCCAACATCGCAGTTTACTGACATTGCGGCCTGGGCGTGTTAGTTCCTTCTTCCAGTCGATTTGCATTATCGGATATACGCTCTTCCCCTTGGTCATCGCCGCGATGCTGAGTGCGATAGGACTCCCTACCATCGCACGGATACCAGTATATCTTGTATTAGTCGCATGGTCTTTAGCGGCCGGAGTAAGCATCTTGGGAGGCTCGGGAGTGGTGCGGAACCGAGTCGGCATCGCAGTGTACCCACTGTTTGTGTTCTACATTGCGATCGGGTGTCTCTGTTTCATCAGTTAAGGCTCTCTATTGTGATATTGTGCTCGGGAGTTGAGACAGGGCGCCGTCACATGCCTCTGAGGCATCGGCGCAACCTCAATAATAACATTGAATTGTATTAGAATAGCGCGGATACCGGTATATCCAGACTCTGAATTGAATTTATGCGAATGGTATCTACCCAGGCACCAGGCAACAATAGACAATTGTCTATTTAGATGAATATGCTTTGTTTCCATTTCCATTGACGCTTTGCTATTCAGAGAACCCGTTTGTTGGGCCCCGCACCCGGCGGTCAACTTATAAGAACCGGCAAGCTAGATTTTCCTTCTTCTCTCACCTTTCCACCCTTCCATCCTCTCGTTCTTCTGTTCGCAAAGTTCGCAAACTTCAAATCTTCCATCCTTCGTCGATTCGGCTGGTCCCAATCGATCCGATCCGGTTATCTGCAGTTATCGTGACCTGGTTTAAGCTCCGCTCAACCCAATCTCGACCGGATATCTGGAATCCAATACCAATATCCTTGACAAGCCTGTCCTTAGGACGTGACGCCATGGCTTCTGCTTCTAGTGAGCAGACCTTCTCCACAGGTGGTATGTGATCAGCGCTTGGGCGCATAGCCTCCCCCACATACTTGGGCAGTTTCGCTGACAACCTCAAAGCTTCGGAAACGGAGCAACTGAAAATGGACCACAGAGGTATGTTTTAATCGATCGGTCTTTGTTCCGCTCTGCAGCTTTCCCTTATATCTGCAATACCCTTTCTGCCGTAGGGCTTTCTCCGACGTTCTTGTGATCTGATAATCTTGATAGTGACCGCGCAGTCGCCCCCTCCGACAACGATAGCGGCGAACGCCCCGTGCGACAGCAGCTCAAGGAGACTAACCTCGACGCTGTTGGCGAAAACAACGATTCTGCACGTGCAAACCGAAAGCGCTACCTCGACAACACAGATGGGGCAAACGACACACCCCCAGCCAAGCGATCCCGAGAGTGTACTCCGAACACCGCTGACACTGAAGACAACTCCTATCACGCCGAATTACCCAAGGATGCCACTACCCAAGATGTGAGTGACGATGTGCCGGCCACATCATCCGCGAACATTGCGGTTCGCAATACACCCTTGTCCCGCAACCCGATCATGAGCCTCATCACCGAGACCAAGATCCAATTTCCCTTGGAGCTTGAGATCAAGGTCTCATTTGGCGGATCCGAGCAAGTTAGCCATTTGACCATTCCTGTTGAGGTTGGTATCAAGGTGACAGCTGGAGCGGTCACCTTGGCTTCCTCGACTTCGAGATCCGCTGAAGGCGAATCCTCCGAAATCCGTGACACCATTCCTTCTGCAAAGCCTATTCCTTCATCTGGAAACCCTTTCCCCGGACACCCTTCCCCCGGACACCCTTCCCCCGGACACCCTTCCCCCGGACACCCTTCCCCCGGACACCCTTCTCTTGAGAGCCCTTCCCGAGTGCACCCTTCATCTGAATCCTACATACATGATGATTCTCCATCTCACACAACTCAAAACCCCGAGTCAATTGGAGATGAAGACTCTCTACCTGACTACTCTTCTCCTTCACCCTCTCTACCTGACTACCGTTCACCCTCACCCTCACCCTCTCCGCGTCCTGTCCCATACAGTCCAACGCACCCCTATTACCCTAGACCCACGGTTGGACAACCTGATTCTAACCACTCTCAATTCCCACAGAATCTTGAATCGACCGCCGGCGGAAACGAGGATGATTCTTCACAAACCCTCAAGAAGAAACGGAGCCGAGAACAACTTGAAGATGACGTCTCACAGAATTCCCACGCTGCGACTGACCCCACGCCTGGCTTGACTGAGACAACTTCATCAGACGAAAAATCCACTACCGAAGGACAACCCGAGAAGAAGAGACCTCGTGACAATTCGGAGGAGCGCAAGGCCAAGGTGGACCAGGTGAGTTGGCTGCCTCGTCTTCCCCAAGATTTTCTTTTCTTTATCTTCCTCTAACACTAGTTCCTAACAGACTTTCACTACGAGTGCATTCGGAAAGGCTGCTACCTCACCTTCACCCTTTGCAATGCCTGCAAATAAATCACCATCTGATGCTTCAACCGGTCGTGCCTCAACTGCTGGTTTCGGTGCCCTCGGATCCGGCTTCTCTGCATTTGGCAGCGCTTTCCCTGCTCCCTCTGGTAAACTCACCAGTTTCGCATCTCCCAATACCCCCGCCGCTTTCCCTGGGACAGCTGGTAAATTGACCAGTTTCGCATCTGCAAACGCCCCTGCCAGTTTCTCTGGAACAGCTGGTAAACTCACCAGTTTCGCATCGGCAAACGCCCCCGTCGGTTTCCTTGGAACAGCTGGTAAACTCACCAGTTTTGCGTCTCCTAATGCCCCCGTTTCTTTTGGCGAGCCCAGTGACAAGACCCTCGGCACAAAACAACCCGACAACGAAGAAAAGGACAACGAACCAGCGGGTGGACCCGATGACACCTTTGTCGCCGAGAAGACCGACGAGCGTTTCCACGCACAAACTGGTATGGATCCCTCCTTGCCCCTCATGACCCCGAATATGGACAGTCGCTCACCCCATGACAAAGTTGAAACCGGCGAAGAAAATGAGACCACCGAGTTTACAGCCAAGGGCAAGCTGTACTACTTTGATGACAAGAAATGGAAGGAGCGTGGTACCGGCACCTTCAAGGTTAACCTCAAGACGGAGCCCGATGGAAAGAAATCCGGCCGCGTTATCATGCGCGCCGATGGTGCCTTGCGTGTTATGATGAACAGTGCAATTTGGAAGACCATGCCCTTTGGTGATATCAAGGGTTTTCGCCCGACCACTCGGGATATCTATCTCGCCAGCAATGAAGATGACAAGGTTGTGAGCCATCTTCTCCGGGTAAGTCTTCTCTTCCTCAATTTCCCTCAGTTTTCTGATTTGATGCTCATAATACTAACATTGAATGATCCAATACAGCTCGGTAATGAGAAGCAGGCCGGTGAGCTTTTCGATGTACTGAAGGATGTCATTGAGGAGATTTGAGCTGTGACATTGGAAGTTATTCATGAAGATACGTTTGTAAATGAAGAAAACTCAAAAAAAAAAGAAGAAGAAGAAGACGGACTCTTATGGGGTCGGCTCTGAGTTCTTATTACTGCAGATTAGTGAATTCTTAATACACCTTCAGTGCACCATATCATATTTTCCTACAGTAAATTTTGACCTGTCTCACTACAGGGTTTCAAGCTCCGTCCACGGGTATAAAACCTCAGGCAAAGGGAACCGTGAGTTCTATTGAGCTAACTGCTAGGAAGATCAAACAGGCAGGGAGCGAGGTCCTCCTATCTGAGGCAGAAACAATCTCAACGAGTATCAATAGCCAGACTATATCAACTAGTTCACTGTTTAACGGCCTATAGCCCAGGGTACATCAAAGATAGACGGTGGGACAACGGCTTCTGGCCTCTCCTCTTCCAACTGTTCTGCAGCCACCCGGTCTTTTTCCATCTTGTCTGCAGTTACCCAAGGATCTTCCATTTCGAATACCATATATTGCACACTGATCCTCGTGGATAAAGTCCGCAGCCAATCAACAGGATGACCCACGTACTCAGTTTGAGCTCGCTTGGCGAAATCGCTATACCATTCTTCCCGGGCTCCTTCCTTCTTACACTCAAATATTGAAATAGATTGCGCCATTTCGCCTTGCTTGCCAGGAGCCCATACACGGCTAATTGGTAATATGCAACACCAAGGGGTGGTCATATTTCATTCAGAATATTGTTGATATGTAGTACTGTTGAATCGCCGCCGTCAGCGACGATGCGGGGGTGGACCCCATAAACCAGGAAGTAAGGGCTTTTCCTAGTGATCGTATGTTCGCGCACACGGGCAGCGAACACTGCTTTCGTGAGGAACTCGTCCAACAAGCGCGTAGGTTTCCCCATAAGGTATCTCGTGAGCATGCGACCGATTAAACCATTGAAATTTTCTACTTTCCTATTAGTGCGGGGATTATATGGAGTGGTTGTACGGTGGCGAGCTTTCAGCAAGCTCGCAAAGTGTCGTACTGCGCCGGACAAGAGGTTCGGGCCATTATCGGAGAGCAATTCGTTGAACGCTCTGTAATGTGCGTAGATATCGCGGTAAAGAAATTCCGCGAGAGCCTCTTCTGTTGCGTCCGGGACTGCACGGGCGACCGGCCAGCCTGTTGCATAGTCGATCGCCGTGGTGATCCAACGATTGCCGTTCGGAGTGGTCGGTAAGCGGCCGATGAGATCAATTCCCCATCGTTCGAACAGGCGGATGCCGCCCACTCCGAACGGCAATCGTTGGATCATCACGGCGATCGACTATGCAACAGGCTGGCCGGTCGGCAACCACTAAAGCTGGGGTTGTTTTGCCTGCGACGTAGTTGTATTGGAGACATCCGAAGAGTACTACGTGAAGAATGCGTGTGCTCTGGAAAATATCGATTTGCGTGAGGAGGAGAAGAGAAACTACCGGTAGTAATTGTTGGGAGTGTTGACTGAGGGGAAGGCGCGCCCGAATCGGCAATCACGGTCCCATGGAGCTCCTGTCGCACCTTGCTGAAGTATGCAGTATCTGCCAGATGGGCAATATCCGCCCGAGCACAATGCTGAGCAGCTAGCTGCCAGATGTCTTCCAGCTGCAGCGGTTTCGAGGGACTCGTTGGACGAGACGATGATTATCTGTCCATTCAAAGATGATATCGCGCTGTTTGGCAATGAGTTCCTCTTTCACAGAGGATCAGGGTCTCTCCTATCAGGGTCAGGAAATCCCTGCGTCGGTCACCAAATCTGACAGACCGAAGTCTGACCCACACCTACCAGTAGGGTCAGCACTCCTCCTGTAGACATTTGAATGCTCTAACTGGAACTACTCTAACGGGCAGGAGGAATCTGTATGTCCTCAAGTCTCAGCGAAGTCCGAGATGGTAGTTCTCTCAAATCCGATGGAAACAAAATGAAGACGCAGATCCTCCGGTAGGTGCTTGTAGCCGTCGTACCGAGATATGGGGTCAGGGAGGGATGATAAGACGGCTATTCCTTAAGATGTCTTTTTCTATGAATGTAGACCCTGCCCGAAGGCGGTCACGGCGAAAGCAGTCTCCCCAATTCGAGCATACCGAGAGGTCACGTGACCGCGAACACTTTCACTTGGCCCTCACTTTAATTTAACTAGTTATACTTCTCTTCACCCGCTTACTCACAATCCTCAAAAGTTGAGTTGCTATGAGCGAGCAAATGAGATATCAGCCTCAAGGTCGAAGATGGTTCCCGGGATATCGTTCAGATCCAGGCCGTAGGACATACCTAGGTGATTCGTGTTTGCGAATTCCTTTTTGGAGGAAATTCAGATCTTTCGCCCGAGGTACAGAAATTATGAACCATGCCCAAAACGAATGACTTCGCAATGTTTCGACAGCAAGTATACAACGATTCCCGCTTGCCACCATGTAGCACTGGCATAATGGTTGCACAGCTCCCACCCAGGACCGAAATTGCTAACCCGCCTTCGTCTCATTCTTCCCCTAAGCCAACAGGTGAAATTTCGTTTCGGACAGCCGTTGCTGATCCTGGGCAAGAGCTCCCCGATCTACTGTCATTCGACTCTCATTTGGCCCCCTCTTATTTTAGAGCAGCAATGGGGAGAAGAACTGAAAAGGGCGAATAAAAGGTGGAGAACAGGAGGATGATAGAGCTCACTATGAAGGATCGGGTTACGTGGCTTCCTTGGCTTCACTACCTGTTGGAAACTAATCGCTTTAGAGCTGAATTTCCACGCACAGCTTCTATGTTGTAGTAAATCAATTATACAACTCAGGAACATCATGATGGTGGGTCGGAGAAGAACAAACATGCAGATTGCTCTTAGTCTCCAACGCCCGATTTAGGCTTAAATATACCTGGGTTATGACCATTCGGTTCTTATCTGTTGAAGAAGACAACAAGGTTATCGGCCTATTACTTTGAGTAAGTCTTCTCTTCTTTCTCGGATTTGAAGAAATTATAACGCTAATGAATCAACACAACTTAGCAAAAAGCTGACAGGAACTGTTTGATGTCTTGAATGCTGAGTTCACCTGGGTAGTCATCGACATTTAATTCCATGTAAATAAAGAAGACCCATAAAAAATGAAAAATAACCACCCTCGTGGAGGCAGTGCAGAATTTTCTTTACCGGTTATTAGCGATCTTTAATACACACACTTAGACTCTGCACATTTCTTTGCCTATATCTTGGCACTTCTTTAATTTTTATACCAGAGCAGCACTATCATTATAATGATCAAGTTAATTAAGCCTCTTCGTACCCCGTTATAACCATAGGCTCTACAACGCACCTCGCCTTCTAGTAACACTTTATCACTTTATATCTGGCAAATACCCTTGCTCCGACCCGAAGCCCCGAAACCTCGGCCGCGGGCAACTCCGGAGCCGCAAGTTTCATCTATGTTGTACAACATATACGGAGAACATGCTGAATCCAAGTATGTTGTACAAAGCACGGACACTCTGCATGAATCATGAATAGAAAGCTGACATTCAGTCACGTGGATTCAACTCAAAGACAACCCTAATACGCTCCTCAGCTCGCCTCCTATTCAATACATTGCAAAGCGAGTGTCGAGACTGCTAAGGTATACTATAGAACTAGTATCAGTGGCAGTAGGGTATAGAATGAAACCAGTTGGGGTTTTAAATTAGTTATGACAAAAGGGGCTTCTGAACATCGATAACACGTACGGAGTACTATGCTAAAGTCTCTGTGGTCTATGAAGCATGGTTGCCCCTCTCTCCTTATCAGATCCGACAACGGCCCGCTAAAAGATGCCCAGATGGAAAATTAGCATTCCGTACTCCGTACTCCGTATATGCCGCATCAATATCATAATCAGGTTTTAAGGTACCAAATAAATATTAAACGTTTACTTTGGAATTTCCAAGGCTTGGAATCGATTAGCAAAGCATTAATAATAGTGGACCTATTCCAAGTTGTTCCCCCAAGGTCCATACAATAGTCTGTGTCCTGCGTACGCGTATGGAATTCATTTCCAGTAGCGCAGAGATCTACCGAATATTCCCTAATTAAGCTTCGTCCTACGGTTGAACCTCTGTTTCGTGTTATGTGGAGTTGCTCGAATTCCTCTCTTCTGTATCATACAACTTCATAGTACGCAATCTAGATGCTAGTCAGTTAGTAGTTATTGCTCGGTCCTACGGAGTACTATGTATCCATTGCGAGGTGAGAACGCTTTCGGAACATTAACTTGGTTTCAATCTGCAACAAAAACCGAATTAACCAAGTACTATGCTAATTATAAGCTAAAGAATCTGATTAGATCCCTCCGTATAGACTGTTGTATTCTAATACACCCGGTAGTATTATTCGATATGCAAGGCACTGCGCTTCCGCCGGCCCCCGGTCGCCTGTTTGTAGCCATCTCCGCAGATACAAGGAAGAAGTGCTGTAGCTATATAGTGGTGTAGCTGTCTAGCTACTAATGTCGTTCCTAAATACTGATTTCGTGCTTCTATATCGCTTTAGTAGTTACATAGTAGACTCATACCCTCGGTGAATTGCGAAAGAACTGCCGGGTGTAAGTTAAACCCCGTAAGTTAATCCCCGGGGTCAAAACACAGGTGGGTCAGCTGTGGAGAAGGAACAGCGGACCCGTTTTTATTGGCCAATGATATTGCATAAAAGGTAATTAATTCATTTATACGCGAATTGGCTTTTGCTTGATTGCTTGTTTAAGCTTAGGGTTATTAGCAATTTATCTAATACAATATGGTAATTGGCTTATGCTATAGTATATGTACACTCGAATACATAACAATGTTCCTAATACAGAACTAGAAGTGCTACGAGACTTAGTATATACCACAATGTATTCCTGATGCATGCATGAATCATTGGTATTCTAGCGTTTGATGCTAATACCCATTGAATCCAATTTCCGGACGTCACTTACCTAAAATGCGAAAAGTGGAGAGAAGTGGATAAAAGAGGGTCTGTTCGTGATCAACAGCCGCTAATTTTATTAGCACGGCTGATCCCTTGAAAAGTGGATATCATATCGAAGGATCTCGGAAGAAAAATCAAAGCGTCTTTGTCATGCAAACACGAGAGAAGCCGGCGTATAGGGGTATAAGAGTACATAGCCTCTCCTTAGCTCTACCCAAGTGGGCCGATTGACATTTTGCATTGCGAACTCGATCTCTACTCCGTATAAGGGAACTGCAAGGATGTTCGGTCGATCGATCTCAGCAGTTCTGGCGATCGCACTGCTGATCAATGGCAACGAAGCACGACAGCCGACTCGAGGCCCTGCCACGCATTCTACCCAGCAGTCTGAACCAATTGATCCATCAAACTATCGATTTTTAACTAACGAGACTAAATGTATGCTTTACTCCAATCCTTTACCCATTCCTTCAACCACGGCTGACAAATAATGTTTCCGCAGCTCATGTGGTGGAGAGTCTACCGGACGTTAATTTCGAATTGGGAGAGATGTACTCGGGGTTTATCCCTGTCCGTGAAGATGCCTCCTTATTCTATATATTCCAGCCGAAGATCGGGGAACCAAGCGACGACCTTACAATTTGGCTGAATGGTGGACCGGGATGTAGTTCAATGCAGGGGTTTCTGCAGGAGAACGGGCGCTTCAC